ATGAAAATAGGATTTCCTTCGCCAACTTGTACCAAAACAACAAAATATTGTTATATATATGATTTCCAAATGATGTACCTGAATTTGACAATTCCTTAGCAGAAGCATTTTCACTCTCCAATGGCACTCTCATGAAATCAGAAAACAAATGCCTTTGCGTCCAAAAAATGGGCAAAAACTGCAACTAGGATACAGGAAGTTCCTAACAATCCATAATGCTCTCTGGCTTTCACAAGACTTTCAAAGCTTGCAGTGGCCCAGAGGGATCGGCTAGTAGGCCCTGATGCTTCTTAGGCCAGACCAAGCGATATGACCAGCAGGGCTATTTCTCTGAGCCTGTTTCCTCTGCAGCAAAATGGGGAGAATCCGTGGAGGGTGACTGTGAGACGCAGAGGGGGGCAGGTACCAACACAAAGGCAGGAGAATGGCTCTGCATTCCATTCCCTAACTTAACTCTGACAGCATCCAGGTTGGGAGGTGTCGTACCCATTTCATAGACTAGAAAACTAAGGCTAAAAGGGTCAATTTAAAAAAAAAATGATTTTAGTTTTTAAAAAAATGTTCAAGGGTCTATACTTTTGTTTAACGAATAATGAGATGGAAGTGTCTACCCCAATTTGTGGATCAAAAAAGCAGGGACATCTTGGCAACAGGATCTGGCCTGGTGAAGCGGCAGGGAGCTAACCTAAGGATTAGTTGTGTCCAAGCCACCCAAGGGTTCTGTGGGCGGAAGCCTGGCGATCAGCTCCCATAAAGTTTACAGCCAGGTGAGCCAATGGGCCCAGACCTGTGGAGGTCACACTGCCTTGAAATCAACATTTGGGCATTACCAAGGGCCACAAGTGTGGGGCAGGTGGTTGTGAGCAGTTAAGTCTTTAGCTTCGCGGTCCTTAGATGCTATAAAATCAAAAGCAAACCCATAGCGACCCTATAGGGCAGGGTGGACCTGTCGGTTTCCGACACTGTAAACTCTTTAAAGGAGTAGAAAGCCTCCTCTTTCGCCCCCGCGAAGCTGCGGGTGGTGTTGAAATGCTGATCCTGAGGATGGAGGCCCAGTGCGTAACCACTACGCCCTCTGGGTCCTTTAAGGGCTGCAGGGGTAGCGAGTGGTACTGGAAGGGTCGCCCTGGGCCCTGAGCTGGGGGTCTGCAGACAGGTCCGGGGCCGCCCCCAGGTCTCACCGTGCACCTCCTTGCCGGTGGGCCCGAGCCGCCGGTGCGGCCTGGCGCGCCTCAGCCGGCCGACGGGGATCTTGCAACGGAGCTCATCGCGGGCCTCGGAGTCCTGCTGCCACAGGACGTGGAGGTAGCGCAGCGGGGACTGGGATCCGTCGGACGCCGGGCCGGGCCGGGCCGCGCCGCTGCCCAGCGCGGCCCCCCAGTCGGCGAAGGAGAAGGGGGCCGTCAGCAGCTCCGGGGCCACCGCGCACTCGCCGTCCGAGCTCGAGCGGCCGGAGCGAGGCTCCTCGTCCGCGCCCCCGGCAGCGGCTGCCATGGCAACGGCTCGGCGCGGACCGGGCCGGCGGCGCCTCGTTCCAGACCGACCAACGGGGCCCCTTCCCTCCGTCCTAAACCTCACTGTCAGCGACCGAGAGGGCGGGATCGGGCCTGCAACCACGGCAACCGGGGAGGGGGGCGGGCTCGGGCCGCGATATGGGCCAATGAGAATCTGCGTAGTTCGCACCCGTTCAGCCAATCGGGCGGGCGGGTCATAGTGCGAGTGAGCGGATTGGACAGGGATTCCGGTCGCCTGACAGATGGACATAACAGCCAATCACAAATTAGAGGGAGCCCACGCTCTTTGCCGTACGTCGCTACCGGAGCCAATAAGACAACTGAGTTTAAGGTACTGTACTCTTTTCCCGCCCCCACCCCATTTTCCCCGTCGGACCACGGGAAAGATAACGGGCAGGTGAGTTAGCCAATCACATTAAGAATATCTGCAGCCAACCACAAAAGAAAGTGGGGCACGGGGGCGGGGAACCCAAGTTCACTGCCATCTAGTCTCAGAACTATAACCACCCGAGTGGCGTACGGGATAGCAAGATCCGCGGTTCAAACCCACCAGTAGCTGCGTGGGAGGAAGTTGAGGCGTTCTGCTCCTGTAAAGATTGACAGTTTAGGACGCCCACAGAGACAATTTCTACTGATAGCCATTGTGTCAGTTATGGCTCATAGCGACCCCCGTGGGGATTTCTGAGACTGTAACTGTTGACGGGAGTAGAAAGCCTGGTCTTTTACACACACACACACACACACACACACCACCCACCCACCCACTACTCCCCGGAAAGCTGCCGACCTTGCAGATCAATGCATAACCATAACACAACCGGGACTCCCCCAAATCCAAGTACACACAGTATTTTTATTTTAATCAGTAAATGTTAGTATTAGGGTACCGTGACCCCTTTTCCAGGTGGATTCCCTTGCTACGGTTTCTCCAAGGGCGGCAACGCAGACACTGAACGTACAGGTAGGAGAAGGCAGCCCAGCGCGCATGGAGCGGTAAAGTCAGGAGGCCCTGAGGGCAGGCCCCCAGCCGGTCTACACTGCTCAAAGGAGGGAAGTAGTGAGCGCTCCAGGCCCATTTTCTATGTCTGGCAGGGGCCTTTGAGCTCAAGGGTTGAGTTTTTCAGAAAACGGTTATGGTTCCTGGTTGGTGGGGACCCAACTTTTTCCTCGCATGGTAAGATCCTGGGGAGGGGTCCGGTGGATCAGCCTCACGGCCTCCCCATTTCTGGTACATGGTGACTCCTCAGACCTGTCCTTAAGGACACCCGCTTCACCCCATCCCCTCCAAATCACTACCATCCTCGATTCAAGGGGCATCATGTCTGTATTCTTTCCAGTGTTGATTTGCTTGTTGTCCTGGTGGTTCATAGTAGTTCAGTATTCATCTCTAGCACCCCAATTCAAATAGTTCTGTCCACCTGCAGTCTTCCTCATTCATTGTCCAACTTTTGTGTGCATACAAGGCAGTGGAAAATTCCATGGTTTGGGTCCAGTGCATTTAGTCCCCCAAATGACATCCTTATACTCTTTGACCCTTTAAAGAGGTCCTCTGCAGCAGATTGACCCGATGTAATACGACCGTGTGGTTTCTTGGTGGCAGCTGCTGTGCGAGTGGCTGATGGAGCCAAGCAAAAGGAAAGCCTTTGACACTTGACTCTTTTCTCTGTTTATCAGGATGTTATCTATTGGTCCATTAGTGAAGCTTTGGTTTTCTTCACGTTGATTTGTAATCCATCTTTGATTTTCATCAGCAAGTAAGTTCTTCAACCAAGTTATGTCTCCTATTAATTAGCATAATCCCTTTTGGACAAGCCAGGTCCTAAAAGTCCCCTTCCCGCCCAAACCCTTTATTAGAGGAGAAGCGTTGTAAAGGCCCTTCTCGAGTATACCTTTGTTTGTGGAAAACTTGCCTCTTGTGACTATCCTTAGTCAGCAGAGGCAAACTCATTGCAATCAAGTGAATGCCAACTCACAGCAGCCCTATGGGACAGGGTAGAACTGTTCCTGGGGGTTTCCCAAACTGTAACTTTCTACAGCAGTTAACAAAACCGGTCTTTCTCTGGAGGAGCGGTTGGTGGGTTTGAACTGCTGAACGTGCAGTCCAACAAGTAACCACTACAATACCAGGGCATCTGGCAGCAGGCAAGGTCGCTCCTTTATAGGATTGGCTAAGGAACATCACTCTTTGCCTGGCAGTTCAGGCAATCAGGAAAGGATAGACTGGTATTGCCCATTTTGAATCAGAAAATCATATGATTTACTATGTGGGGAATAATACAATCAAGAGGAATGGTGTGGCATGATTGTCAAAAAGGACATTGTAAAATCAATCATGCCGTACAATGCTATCTGTGATAGGATTATATGTATCTACCTGTGCTAGTTACATAATCGGTTGTCAATTGGAGTTTACCCTGTCAATCGGGTCGCAGCTTGATGACCTCGTTTGGAGGTGCTAAGGAGATAAATAGCTCTCTG